ATTGAGTGAGTATTTATGATGTATACGTCATGACTCTCTTAAAGAGGCAACAACCAAATTATATTACCCGGTAGAAATATGCGCAAACTGAGGTCTATACGAATGTTTTGTTTCAACTAGCCTTATTAAACGTGTGCGTCTTTCTCGTCATTTTCGTAAAAGGTGATTTGATCTTTCGTGAGACGTAGAAGAAATCTGTTTGCTTGAAGACAGGGGTTGAGGGTCGTCACTTTGTGGTCAAGCACCATGCGTGTTTGTTGCCCTTAAAATCATTCCTAAGCAAAGTTGTTAAGTTGGTATGGTCGCTGTACATACTGTCACAGATTTTATTCAATGATACATTATCCTACCAATATCGTAAGAAGTAAATCCAGAAAACAAGGAGTATGATTTCGCCGCTTGCTTGTGAATGTGGTTGCAACAATTTGCATTTCAAATGATTAGGTGATCATGATCTTCGCAAGAATGTGGGCTGCGTGTTTTGCCGAGGTAACGTCCTCAAGTGAGTTGAATTACTTGAAAGCCAAAGGATAATTTAATAGTTTTCTTTTATTTTCTAATCACACTATGATTATCTCGTGAAAATAGCCAGCATTTTAATTTATAAGATTCCGTAACTTTTTCTCCGTGTGGGTTTCAAATTGTAAATGAACTATTTAACACTTGGGATACGATTTAATTTGTTTGAATTGTTTGGTCATGTTTGAGCAACTCTAGAAAATGAACGTACAGAGAACTAAAGATTCATCTCTGTGGGATGCAGACCGATACCTCGTCGAGAAAAACAATTAATTAATGCTTGAAACTGAGCCTTTTACATTAAAATACATTTGGTATTGTGTGATGGAATTGTATCCTGGTGTTTTAACACTCAAAGCGGAATACGGCTTAGTAATGGTTCGATTCTTTCGCTGACTGACTGAATCAGGGAAAAGCTTTCGCAGTCACGATAATTGTCGGCCGATGCGAACGATATTTCCCACAATGTTAGTCGTTAAAAGTTTTTCTAACTTTTGCCTCGTTACTTGGTTGATCAGTTTCTAAACGTGGTTCTGCCGCTGACATCGTTCTTTTAATGAATTCATTGACATGAATTATTTCGTATTTACAGTTACGATACCATCGAGATTTGTATCACAATTTCAGATGATTAATGCACCGTATTCTTAACTAAGTGTACTGTAATTAATTCTTGTGTTGGCTAAGAAAACTCTGCCATTTAATTTGAAAAAAAAATTATGTTTTCATGTGTAGAAACCCAACTAAATTACCTGAGTCTTCATAATCATCGAATTTTACCTTGAAAATATATTTGAAAATTTGCAAGGATCGTTTCATGCAAATAAAGCTCGTCATTTATTACTTAACAAATAAGTGTCGTAATTTACTATAGTTATTATGCAATATAGGACGCCATATTGGATGAGAACTCGTGTGTCTTTATTGAGTAGTCCAGAGTGCATCGCGCACCCTAACACTATCATGGCTCAAGATCACGCAAAATTTGTTAAGATATCATCAGTTATACAAAATAATTATCTCAGAGGTTCAAAGCTCGGCTGGTCACACACACAAAAAAACATCCTTGGTAGTAATTGTCGTTTTGTAAGATATGTTCATAAGGTCTCCAAATTCTTTCACGTGGCATTAATTCGCACAGCAACCAACAGCTCAAAACTTCCTCTATTTGCTGGGAATGGTCCTTTCATCAATTAAAAGTTTAGGAATTCCATAATGTAGTTTCAAAACAGAGGCCTCCCCAAAAACAAGCACGACATAAAAAATTTGAATTCAGTTACTGTAATTGTAAATTTTAATGCAAACTAGTGTCTTGGAGACAAAAGAGATTTGAACCACGCTGGAATCGGTCTTTAGACCTCCCACATCGCTGGTTTTTCCCTGGATGAAGTCTGGCCGCAATTAATTTACAATAAAAGAGATGTAGAGCTTTTAAATGAACAATGAAGAACATGAAAAAGTGCTTGTTATTTAGGTGTGAATAGGGATGAAAGTACATGTTGAACGACATTTTCAGAGGGAAAAACAATGTCAAGGATTCTACGTCTCAGATTACTGACTAAGTGGTTTTCAATTGGTCACAAATGACTGTTCTTGTCGATAAATTCAAAACAACTGGGCGTTCTATTGCTGAGTTGGCCCCCAAGTTGCTAGCGCTTCTCTTATTGTAGATACCCTAAGCGGCCGACCATTTAACTCTTGAGGGGGGGTGGGTAATTTTGAAAAACATTTCCCGCAAGCGCTTGTTGGAAGAACAAATTGCATGCAGTTCAAATGTAACAGAAAAAAAGAGCATTTAGAACGGAAAAAATATCCTGCCCAGCAGATTGCTAGAAAAAAATTTCTTGATGACCAGAAATCATTCACCCCCCCTCAAAAGTTAACTTGAACTCAGTCAGAATGCTATTTTCGTAAGTTCTAAGACTGAGAATAAACCTTTAAAGAAGACTTAAATATATATTAGAAGACTTGAATTTATAAAGAATTATCCTTGTGACGAATATCTGAAAAGAACACGATTTCTACTACTCATCTGTGAAAAATTATTCTTTAATTCTCACAATCCGGGCTAGAAGATTAACGTGTTTCGCATCAATGTGCTCGGATTCGGTCGGTAACTTGATGCTGAGTTAGAACTGTTGCAATTCGGCTAAAAAGGGGATGGACGTTTGGGTTTCTGTACACAGGCAACAGACAGTTCGGAATGATAGGAGACCACGACTTCTTAGCGTTTGCCGCACTTATCACAGAGTAAAAAGAGTTATGATTTCACAGTCAATATGCAACTACTCAACGTTTGTGTTTTAGTTTCAAAGATATAGCTTTTAACAAAAATGTATAACTTGTGTCTTAACCACAGATGTTATGCGGATTACACCTTTTTATAAACACATGTGGCTTCCTACAGCGACAAGACGAGACATCTTGAAAGGTGTGACAAGCAGGTGTCTTCTGAATGCGAATAGAAAAGAAACTTAACTTGAGCACGCATCGATTTTTCTTGTACAATTTTCGAGATTCTATCCTGAAAAACAAACAGCTTCTACCGTTAACGTTTTTTTTAAATAACCTTTAATCATTTTAGTTAAGAATATAATGACTTACCATTTTTTGTCCCAACTTATTCCAGGTTATCATTCTTATGTAAATATTAATAGAGTTACTAAGACAACAGACAATACCTCAGCCACTGCAGCTTAGATTAAACTTACACATAATTTATGGTTCCTATTTTGGATACGTCAACTTAACGTTCTGAACGTTTTTACATGATAACTCTCTCTTGGTTACAGCTGCAAATTGCAGTGTCGCATTGGTTAGGAATCCTGCGTTTTTGATATGTAAGGTATGCAATGTCTATTTAATAACGTTCTGAACAGGTTCTTGTGAGTTTGCATGTTAAATACTTTTCAGTGTTAGTCAGTGAAAGAGTTTACGGAACAGAAACGGGCCGAAATGGACCGTAAACACCGTTTTAATCAGGAATACTTAGCAATGATATACAGCATCTGATATGATACTCTGGATATTCTACGCACTGAACGTACTTCTACAATTCACCAAACTTGCCTTGACTTTCCATTTCGTTGTAAACTACTTGACTTCACCATTCATATATCGTCCACGACCGATGCTTTCCTGAACTTGGAGCCGTGTGAGACTAAGATAATCACACCAAAAAATATTGCAAACTACCCTTTAACCGCGAACTTTCTGAGTTCCTTTATGCAGATTTCTTTTGGTAAATTAATTTTTCCGACTAATGGTTCGTTTTATGCATCATCATTACCAACAAATCATAAGTGAGCTACAAAAAAGAATCCAAACGAATTCAGTCACAAGATACTGAACTCGGCCATGCTTGAATATTGTCTAACCGTATCCAGGTCTTTAAGTGTCAACACTGCCTTTTCACCGGTCTTGAATATTTAACGCTGCCAGAAGCTAAACTTCATAAATATTGAATTGATTTGCCTTCCTTTCATCAATTTGTGAAACAAAATTAGCATTATATTGTTCCGGGAATGATGATAAACTTGTCGCGAATTCGTTCAAATTGTTATTTTCTTCCGAGAACGCCTTTTGGTTTGTGGTCGGTTCGCATACCAAAATGATGAAATTTAGAATTTCTGAGTCTAAACAAAATATAGAGTTAGATGCCTTTTAATATCGATAACGTACTATAAACCACCGTGAAAGTGAAACAAAATTAAACGAAAGATGATTTTACTAAAGTAAGAATTGAAAACTATCGTAGTCTAATTTTAATGACTGAGAAAATGAAAATAAGTGACAGCATTGTATTTTTTCACAGTTTTACCCTCTTTAGTTTGATGGTTGGTTTTATTTGCTAGCTGGTCTGATCCTGCTGTTCTTGTTTTCATATTAGTTCTCTTAAATTTGAATTTTGTTTTACTCGAGTGGTGTAAAAACAGTCAATGTCTGAGTGGATGGAAATTTAACGGAAGTGATTTTAGGTAACAAGCGTTATGTGGCTTATATTGGCCTGTTGAAAAGTTCAAGCCCAAGGCTAAATAAACACTACCTGATCACTCTTCATTGCCTTGCTCGTTCGTTCTTTCGTTCACCAGTGGTTCGTTTGTTCGTTCTTTCTTTGTCAGTCGTTCGTTCTTCGGATCTTCCTACTTTCGTTCGCTAGTCGTTCGTCTTTTTGCTCGTTTGTTTGTGCTTCGATCATTTTTTCGTTAGTTCTTTCGGTTTTGGTTCGTTTATTGTGATATTAGTTGATTAATCATTTTTTTAATATTTGGTTATTTGTCATCTCTGTATAACTATTTGTGTGAAATAATTTATTTCAGTGCGAATGTTCTTATTCATCTATTTGTGTTAAATCCCTTTGTCCCTTCTGACTAATCTTGATCATTTTTTAGTAAGATTAATTATACACTGTCTTTTCAAACCTTTAAAAATTTGCATCGCACCATGACAATTGATTAAGACCTGTTAAAAATCTCCTTCAGGTTCTTCATGTTGTCGCACTGTGACGTATTCATGGAGCCATGTGTAGCTGTGTCTCTGTTATCGTCATGTTAGGATCATTGGTAGAATTAATGTCATGGCACCTATGTGATAGGGGCCCGGTTCAACGGACTATGAACCAATATCCAACCAATCAGCGACAAGCACTAATGATCAACAGTGACATCAGCAATTTGAAAACGAGGTTTGTTCCATTTGTGGCTAGAAGTATTTGTCTGAAATAACTAAGCCCTCGAAGCCGATAAATATTAACGTAGCTGAATTGCAGACGTTTTTTAATTTGTGTAATGTTTGATTTCACTCGAAAGTGAAAAAAACCCACTGGGATCCACAATTTACCAAATTAGCAATTTTCCTTTTTACGTGACAAATATTTTCACTTAAATTTAAAAGTTTGAATAGTTTTTCTACATTAAGATAACGCCCATAATTTAGCCGATGAATCTGTATGTTCTCTTTCCCCTTTAGCTGGATTATACGCTGTAAGAGGAAGCTGATCTTAAATCATTTCGAATTCTAAAAGATATACACCTAATTCTGGTACCTTTGCCAAATAAAAAAGCAGAAAGAAAATATGAATAAGCTAAATTTGAATTAATAAGCTCATAACATGGATAAGCGTACGGCATAAACAGATATATGTATGTATTTTAATCTGTGGAATCGTTAGAATGTCTAACTCTGAACTACGTATGATACTCTCCAGAAGTCGAAAGAGTTTTCGGTGAGGATACTGTGAAAATTGTTCGACTGCTGAGCATAACCGAACATATAAAGGGAAAAGGTACAAAGATTGACGGAGGAAATCAGATGACCAACAGGGTCGTAAACAAAGCCACGTGATCTCGGGGAAAGCTCAATATTTGGCACATGATTCGATGTAGACTCCACTAAGAAACTATGGGAAATATTCTGCTTTGCGTCTTTCAGTTCATTTCAAAATGGTGGCAAGCTACGGTAGAAAAACAAATTTTTGACCTTTTAGGGGGTAAATAAAAACTTCCAGTAGAAAGCACTAGAGTTGCGTAATTAGTTTTGAATCGCTTGAGGAGATTCACCTTTCAACACCAACGCTGTCTGTTCGACGCTGTCCTAAGAACGGCTGTCAATGAAAATATTTAAAATACGAACGTCAAAGCGGAAACGAAGACCTCTAGATGCATCCTACAGTTAAGAGTTGGGGGCGTGTTTTGTCTGTAAAAGAGATGATCATTGATATCATATATTTTTGATAACAAGAATAACAATTGCCTAGAAAAAAAGTCAAAGGAAAATTGCTTGTCGTGGTGAAGGTCAGAGGCTGTCATCAGTTTTTTCGTAAATTTGTTTCCTTATTTGCCCAGAAAAATTAACAGGGTGACGCGGTTTGTAATGCGAGAATTATGGGCATCTTCTTAGTACCGAAGACCAAAGTTAAAAAGTCCACATTATTTATTCATTAAGTATTTACATTCGCTTCTTTCTATATTTTGCAGTGCAATAAGAAAATGGCATCCTGGAAATAAAGTTCGTGAGCATTGTAAACAAAATCACGAGACTCTTGATCAATGGGTCGAGGATCATGCAAGAAAAGGTATGAACAATGCACGCAGTCCAGTAAGGCCGAGTAATGCCCATGTTCATATATTTACTGTTTTCTCTTTGCTTTTCATTACAAAAATTTTATGCGAAGAAAGTTTGATTTGATGTTTTCGATGAGTACAAACACTAGGTGACCTCCTTCATTATACGTTCAGCCAGTGAAGTCAGTCAAAGATCTTACGAAGTTCGCCATTTTCTTAAATTTTCCCTCACTTACCAACGAATTCCTGACAAACAAATTTGTTTGAATGATGCAAAAGATATCATCTGTTAAACTTGGCTGCCATTAAAAAATTAACATAAAATAAAAAAATAACGCATGTATCAACTCAGTCCTGGCAACTTAGGTCATCACAGCTCTCGAGCAGAGTCGTTTGCGTTGTCCCTAGTAACTCGTGGAGGTCTTAATTTCGTTTTCCGTCTCCGCTGATTAAATTTAAAAGGAAGACTTGAGGATTCGATGGTGAAATCGATCCTTTTTATCTACAAGATACACACAGACAGCGATATAAAATATAAATAACGTGCCAGCCTGAACTTCGGACAGACGGGAAACCAGAACTTTGTCATAACGTTATTAGAAAATCAAGTGTCACGCTACGCTGAATATTATATGCAATCTGAATAATCATATGAACTCATGATCACGGGCTCAGAACAGAGATGAAGGCTTTTGCATAATACCAAAACAGTTGATTCTTTAATGGTGTTCCACTGGAATTTGTCGTAGAGCAGAACATAGGGTTTGAATAATCAATGGTCTCTGAGCTGGAAAGCGCACATGACAAAGTGAACACATTAGTTACCGATGCTGATTAATGGCTTTAAAAAAAAGCATGATGCGTCAGGTCCATTTATCAGCAAGTGTCTTTAACTGTGCGACATAAGAGACATCTTAATGACGGGAAGACGTTACACCGTTATTAAATAACACATAGAAAAATCTGGAAACTTACTCCCATTTCAGCTGTGGAAAAAAGCCAATTTTCTGATTACAAATCACTAAGGCTAAACGTTAAGTGGCTGGCCGCCTTGTACGCCCGTTGTGCATAAAAAAGTTTACTTCTGATTTATTAATTAATAATCAAACGTGGCTTTGGCCTCGCGTGCCAACTTCAAAAGATTATGGACACTGGACACTAGCTTCTTACCGATCATTGTGAAAGCTAAGTCGCACAAGAAAATTATTTACTGTTATGAAGCAAAATGATGTAATGAAAAACGAAAAATAGCTGCAAAAACAAAGCAAAACCAAACAGAATCTCTTATAATGAAAAAAAAAAAAATTGATAAGATGTAAAATGCATCTAACTGAGAAGCTATAAGATAAGTATCGTCGCAATCTCTCCAAACGGTTCGTGCTGGGGTATCTATCTTTGGCCTGCCGTGTTATCATTTCCACAATCAGTTCTGGAAAAGAAAACTGCAAAGGTGGTCAGGAAATGCTCCTGTCTGATAAAAATCGCATTTTTAGGGGCATAAGAATGAAATGTAATCGAGTGAATGAGAATTTATACGCCTAAATATCCTAAAAACTGAAACTAGAATTTTTCAATTCTGACATGACTATTATCTAGAGATTCATGAGGCAACCTGATTTTACTTTTTCTTCTTTTTACTCAGATTTTAACATTTTCGAGTTTCTGCCAGGATTTCGAGTAATTTCAAATTTACTTATGGATGGATCAAGAACATTTTTGAACGGAGCAAAGTTTGCATCTCGTCTTCACTTGGAGAACTTATTATTAAATCTTCTGCTTCTATTCTTCATCAACGTATTACTAAAAAGGAACATTATTTCTTTGAAATTACATGTCATAACAACAGCGATTCTTCATTGGGAAAATGCCCAAGCAACTCTCTCACCTACGTCGTCATATACACTTTCATCAAGTGCGCACATCATGAAATCCTCGCCGCAAGCTGACAACTCTCCTTCAAGAACGTCCAACGCTTCAAATGAAAAATCTGATGGAACAAGTCAATTGACTCCAATCACTTCCGCTGTCACGAAATCAACAAAGTTAGCGCATTTACAAGGTAAACTTGGTTATTTCTTATGAAAATGTTTCGGGGCCAAATACTTGCTTAATGCACCAAATTTATTCAGTCCTAAGCAAGTCTTGTATATGTTGAACTGTTTTTCTACTTATTCTTAACTAAAAGTATTTATAACATAACCAAAGTAAAGCGCGCGCTCTGATTGGTCAATTTAGCGTGCCCCATTTGCCCATGGGTGTACGCTGCTAACGTGAGCAAATGCACAGACTATTTTTCCGCGCGCGCTTGTTTTTTCTAGTCACGTTAGATTTGTTAAATAAAAGGGAACTCTTTAGCTACAATGTATCAATGTTATGTTATAAAACAAATGGTAAACACCACACCGTACACTATTGAGTTATGGATGTACTTGGGAGGTTTGCTAAGCACTCAAGAAGCTAGAGTCGCTCGAGGCGATAGCCGAGAGCGACTCTTACGCTTCTTTCGTGCTTACCAACCTCCCGCGTGCATCCATAGCTCAATAGTGTACGCTGAGGTGTTTACCATTTGTTAAATGTTTACGTTAGAGTCTTTTCACATCACTCTTCGTTCATTTGTCTACTCATGTAGTAATTTATTATTCAATTATTTAGTATGAGATTCGAAGTTTGCCTACTCGCTGAAAGCCAGGTATGAAACATTTCGAAAACTTAATTCATTTGTATGAATTTGAAGAAAGAATGGATGCCGATTATGGGAACAGTCTAAAACTCGCCATGACGGCTTCAACATGAAACGGCAGAATAGGAGAAATATTTTGTTTTTTACATGTAATCTTTTTTGCGTTTATTTGCCCAATATTACCAGCTCTTCAACTTATCAACTGACAGGAAAGGGAGTAAATAGTTTCTCAGGCTATTATTTGCCGCCCAAAATTTAATCAAAATGTGAGTGGTGATTAGATTTTAATCTTGTCAAAACTTACCCCAATAGACCACTTTCATAAATGGCTACCGTATAAATATTCTTTTGTTGAAATTTAAATTAGCTCTACTGGCCTCGCTTGAGATAATGTATTCTTTTGAATTTTGTACTGGAGAACGAGGCCAGTAGGGCTAATTTAAATTTAAACAAAAGAATATTAATCCCGCAGCCATTTATGAAAGTGGTCTATAACTGCCCTTCCCCTTCCCTCAAGAAAATTCTTCTGGACAGACATTTTTATTAGGTTGTTCTTTCCTGAGGAGGGGTGGTACGGGGGAAGGATAAAAATCATCATCGGCTCAGAATTAAGTAAACAGTTTAATTTTCTGTTTTTTATTATTATTTTTTTTTTTATCTTGGCAGGAATTTGTGATGAAGATTGGATTCACGAGGGAGATTTGTGTTACGGAATTGTTGAAGAACCAAGACAGTTTAATCACGCTGAAAGATTCTGCGAGATGAACTCTGCTCATTTGCTATCAATAGCAAACAAAGAAGAAAATGATATGATTTTTGATTTAGTTAAGGAAATTTTAGGTCCACCTGGTAAAATATGGCTGGGGATGGAAAGGCTATCTTCTGATTCAAAACTCCATTGGATTGATAAAACACCAATCACTTATGATAACTGGGCGCCTGGAGAACCCGATAACAATGGCGCATGCGTGCAAATGATTCACAAAGGATGGTGGGAAGATGTTTCATGTGTGCAACGGCTTCCGTCCATCTGTAAAAAAGGTGAGTTGCTCAGTTTTACAAGAGGTTTCCTTTTAACAAGATGACCTTAAGATGCATTTTGTAATTCGCGTGCAGGTAGCAAAGAGAGCCTGCCTTACTCCAGAGCGACAGAACTTGGGATCCTGATTGGCATTCCCCTCACGTGCTCTGCTATCATGTTATCAGTGGTAGGCGTGCTCCTCGTAAGAAGTATTTACGACTCAGAAGGAACTTATTATGGATACGGCAAAAATCGCAACAAGGACAAATTACACTCCTGCCTAGTCACCATGACAACGAGCATTGCGCATGTCTCAACTATGGGATATAATGACGAGAGACGATTCAGTGAGGCTAGTATAAGGTCAAATCGCTCTGCACAATCTTCACACTCGGATGCTGATCATCATTCTTCTGATCATTCTCGGGGTAATTCCATCGTGGAAGCTCCGGAAATAAAAATTACCCCAGAGACACCTGAAGCAGAAAGAAGATTTGAGGCCAGAGTATTTGCATCTTCAAGCACGAGTATTGATCAAGAAAGGTTTCAATCAACCACAAGCTTGGAGAATCTGTTGTCTAAAAAGTATATCAAGCCTAAAACTCGCCGATTGCGTTCATTGCGTAAATCAGAGGCGGTTGTCTCACCCGCCGGGCATGACGGGAAATATACAAAGAAAGAGGACCAATTTGAGTTCTACGAAATCTAGCTCTTATTTGAAAACAAATTTTGCGTACAAACGTTCGAATCAGTGACTCATGGACGAGAGCATCTTGATGTTAAAAGTACTTTTTTGTCATTTTCGAATTAATTGCCTCTTCCGCTTTGCATAAGGCTGATAGTTTCTAAAGAAACCGTTCGGGGCTGCGTCGGTGGGGGTAACGAAATAATTTGGATATATCAACAAAGTTGAAATGGTAAATTGGCCACCGTAACCATTACAAAAGCTGACGTTTCGAGCGTTAGCCCTTCGTCGGAGCGAATAGAGGAATTGTGGGTTGTGTGTGCAGAAAATGGAGCTACATTATTGCTGGGAACATGGCAACGAGAAAAACACGAATAAATTAGTGGAATGAAAAGCGTTCGTTGATACCTGTGGGATTTAGACTGCCGGTTTGAAAGATGAGCTTTTGTTCAAGATTTTTACGGCTTTCCGTGCTTCCTAAGTGTAAGGAAAGACCACAGATTGCCATATGTTGCTTAGAATGATTAGGTAAATTAAAATGTCTAGCNGGTGCTTTGAATATTTACAGCAAACAATATTTTGTTACTATTGACCATTATTTGATTGGAGAAGAAGCATTTGAATTCGTACTCGTTCATCATCATCATCATCTTTATTTACCTTATTTTAACAATTAAAAAATAGTTAATTACAGCGATAACAGTTAGAGGGCGAAGAGACCCAAGAAGCCACCAAGCTTATGGGAGAGCCACCTCACTTACAATAATAAATTAAGTAAAGAATAAGTGCTGCGAATGTGCGGCTTGGCCAATTCAGTGATTATTTAAGTAAAAACTCTTGCAATTTCGCTTTAAAGCTAAGAAAGTTTGACGAACGAGTGACTGGAAAAGGGAGAGAGTTCCAAATTTTAGGACCTTGGTATAGAAATGTAAACTGCTTGACATTTGTACGGCACAAATGCGTTCGATAATTACTGGCTGTTCTGGTACCATAGTTGTGAATTTGGCTTTTCCTTCCAAAAAGATCGAGAAGCAATGCGGGCAATAAGTTATTTTTGAAATAAAACATAAATTTAGCGATTTCAAACGTATTGACTTGGAAAATATCTAAAATTTCTAGTTTGGAGAATAAAGGAGCAGAGTGGTCTCGAGTGAGTTGGTGATAGCTCGTACAGCTCGCTTTTGCAATAAAATATATTCTATTTAAGTTAGATACGTATGTGGACGACCAGACGGAGTTACAATAGACGATATAAGGATAAACTAAGGTGTAATACAAAGTGAGCTTGGTTGCAGAGGATAGGGAAAAGCAAGACCTAAATATAATACCTATTGATTTAGCGATTTGTTTACATACATAGCTCATATGGTATTTCCAGGCGAGATGATTGTAGTGGAGAGCGCTATTTATGCAATAGCGAAAATCAGACCGGAAAAAAAATCAGGCCGGTACGGGATTCGAACCACTGACCTCTGCGATACTAGTGCAGCGCTCTACCAATTGAGCTAACAAGCCAACTAGAAGCAGGCCGTTAATTTGATTCGTAATAAATTGGTAGAGCGCTGCACTAGTATCGCAGAGGTCAGTGGTTCGAATCCCGTACAGGCCTGACTTTTTTCAGGTCTGATTTTCGCTATTGCATAAATAGCGCTCTCTACTGCGAGGATCCTGCATCATACGTGTCTAATACTGCAGTTCAAAATATATGAACTTCATATTTTCATTGTAAAAGCTCATCTTTCAAACCGGCAGTCTAAATCCCACAGATATCAACGAACGCTTTTCATTCCACTAATTTATTCGTGTTTTTCTCGTTGCCATGTTCCCACCAATAACGTAGCTCCATTTTCTGCCTTTAAAAGCACACACAACCCACAATTCCTCTATTCGCTCCGACGAAGGGCTAACGCTCGAAACGTCAGCTTTTGTAATCGTTACGGTGGCCAATTTATCATTTCAACTTTGTTGATATATCCAAATTCTTCCGCTTTGCAGTCCGTTTCATTATGTCGATAAGTGTGGAAACTTTTCCCGCGAAGAGAATATATTGATGCGATGGCGAAACTCAAAAAATTATGGAAAAGCATTCACCTAAGCTTTATCACCTAAACTGTCAAGAACTGCGATAAGCTTCAGTTTCTGTCTATAGCAGTTGTGGATGCGTCGCTTTACGAGATACTGGCGAACTGATAGCGATATAATGACTAAAACGCCTTGGTTGATCATTCCTATCACTCGAACTCATTACTATCTATATAGATTTTAAACACATTTTACATGACAACATCAAAGAAGCAAATTAAAAAATCTATTCATGTTTAAAGGATTCATTTCAAAACGTTGTTTCCAATTAGTTGCGATATACTTATGTGGAAAACAAATTTCCCATAATAACTCAATTCACAAACCCACAAATAACAACTATTTTAAGCAAGTAGAACTTTACGTCGGTATCGCTATGATGTAAAGCTAAAATTTAAGTGACAATTAATTACTCTTAAAATCATCCATGTTTTTGTGATACGCATTTTAGTTTGCCTTTTCGATAAAAAGTTCAACATTTTGGGCCATTTCTCAAACGTTCCGATAGATCTATCCAACATAATCTGTGGCTCATGAAACTGGTCACAGACAATTTCTTCTTCGTAGAAAACTTGATATTGACACTGTAAGGACACTCTAATTATTTTTTTATTGTTAGGTCACAAATTAAAAATAATTTTGTAAGTTAATATAAAACGCACCAGAAATAAAGTATCAGCGTGTGATTCTGTGATTCTTGTCGACCGATCTCAGGACCAGTACTCTCTCAAAAGGAGTCAGATATGATGGTGTTTGGTTATGCATGCATCAATTTGCTAAGCAGGGCCTAGCTGCTTGAAGAACAGATTAACTTTTCCAACAGGTAAATTGCTCATCCAGCGGATATACGCGTACACAAAATGCACAGCGCTATTCATTGGATAGATTTATCCAGAAGATCCAACCCCTCGACGGTTGACAATCGTTTGCTTTCAATGGTGTTACAGATGATTCTCAAACAACTTGTTTGTGAACTCCACTATCCTGTATGGCTGGCAGCTGTTTCGAGTGCTCGATGAATGGTGCAAATGATCAGTTCAATGCCTCAAACACACACAACGCCGTCATTTACCCAACCTAAACCTATGGTTTTTACGTTCTCGCTTCACCATGTTTCCACCAATAGCGTAGCTCCACCTTCTGCATATAAACACACACACAACCCACAATTCCTCCACTCGCTCTGACGAAGGGCTTACACTCGAAACGTCAGCTATTCAACTCTTTACGGTGGCCAATTTACAGTTTCAACTTTGATAATAAAACCAAAGGACTTTGTTATCCCCCCCTCCCCTCCCACCATCGACGCAACACCGCAGTTTCTTTAGAAACTTACCCCCTTTATTCAAACGTTTTTACCAACTGAAACACGTACGGAAACACGTACGGAAACACGTACGGAAACACGTACGGAAACACGTACGGAATTGGTGTCATTCCACATGAGGTGGAATGACACCAATACTATACATCCTTTCCTTTCTCACGGTGTCTATGAATATAGAAAGGGGAGAGATGTCGGCAAAGGGGAAAAGGCGCTAATTTTAGCCTGTGTTTTGACTGATAGAAGGGGTGCTCATTTGAAGTCATGCGCTAAATCAATAATTGTATCTACACATACAAATTAAATGCGCATATTTGTGGCTGAAGAATCAAAACGATCCGTTACCGAGAAAATAGATTTACTTTTCTAATGTTATGGAAATGGTATTAATTTCGTAGGTGACTCGGATATGCCGGGATTGCACTGGAACCAAATTTACGCATTTGAAAGGTTATTTGATATTTCCACACAAAAAGTATTTTTTTAAAAATGATATTGGCTTAAATACAGCTATATTTCTGACTCTAACACCACTTTCTCCTGTGAAACAGTACAATCATAATTGTCTTAATAATTCTAGTTCAGTGAGGGTAATTTTCCTGATCATGAATTTGTTTTCCCAATGTCGCCCTTCTCTCCTTGACTAAGTTATTAAGCTAAATGAGCCAAAGCTTTCTGATCTTTGGTTCTCTTTTCAGTCAGCCCATCGAACTTCACCACACTTCTTTCTGTTGCAACTGTTAAACCAGTCAATGTGGACTGGACTCTTGGACCTTTGAATGTCAGATCTTGACGAGTACTGAGAGTCTTGTGTACCAATTTCGTAGCCTGGAAGCAATAAAAACAAAATTAAAACGATACTTCTGAATAGTCACAAGGGCTCTATTTAACAAAAACTTACATGTTCCTTTATCACTCATGTTTGATATACCTCAGTTCCCTATTCATCATCAGAAGTAAACATCTCTATCACTTTGATTACTTGCTGGCACGGTGTGTCACAAAACTTCGCTATCATTATTTTGAACCACTTTAGTTAGCATAAAATGTTTTTGTATCTATATATATAGAAAAAAAATACATCAATCTATTTTGAAAGAAATATTTCTATGAAGTCTTTTCTTAAGACATAAAACTGGAAAAGCGAACGATAAAATCCGATAGTCGGAGTAGTCATGACTCCATTATCAAGGAAAATATAAAAGATCTTGCAAATTGCAACATATTAAGCGTTTTTGGCGCGAAGAATTAACATAAGAGGGTGCGAAGGTCATAAAAATATTATAAAAAGTCATTTTCTATTTGTCATCAGTTGGCATGCAACTTGTGACTAAAAAACTGACCTACCTTTTTCTTCCCTTTTATAATATTGATGTGAAAATCCTGTTCTTCCATACAAACTCGCATTTCAGGGAACACCGAGCCACAAATCGGAGGAAGAATTGACTTGCCACTAAATCTGGCAGCTGCCTCTGAGTTCTTTGCACCTGTTACGTTAGATAAATATTAATATAAAACTAATTGTTACATTTCTGGACTCGGCAGGACACGTGAATCAGCATATTATCAGGCCTGATGCCTGACCTCCCCAAAGTGAAATTCTCCTCAGTAATTTCTGGCTCAATAATTGGGCTGGGGGTTTTAATCAGCGGATATTTGTCCGTTTCCATTCTGTGAGCTGTGATAGAAAATTAAGTTACGACAAGTGGCTGGAGCATAAGAGACAATTCAGTAGGTTTGCCGGCAAAAATGCAATGAATGGCGGTCTCAGAAATGTCTCATTGTCTTGTTAACAAAGTGCTCGTCGAAGTGAGGATAAAACTTTGTGATTTTACTCATTATCATTTCGCTTTTGAGTTTCTTATGATGAAGCAAGAACTCGAAATATATGCGGAAGACAGAAAACTCATTGCCAGAATGAAGGTTCACCAGAATAGAAACCAAGGATTGTAAATGTTTCTAGCCGGATCATGAGTAAAGTAATGAAAGAACGTAGAAATCTACGATTCCGTCCCACCTATGACAACACTTACGCGCTCAATTTCAGTCGTCAATCTTGCGACCTAGACTCTTATTAAGTTCATCTGTGTCGTACCTGAAGCATGCTGAGACAGCTCTTGATAGCTGTTTGTATCTCTGATAGAGGCCTCGGCCTGACGCGCCGCTGTAATACCCATGTGACTCTTCATGACGTCAGTGATCGATCTCCCAGGAAAAAGGCGCGAAAATATGGAGACGACTTCCTTGTTTTCTGGGTCCAAATACAGTGAAACAAGGACATCATACCGAGCTCCGTCCAAATCCTACACACAAACAAAGAAACATGTGATAATTGTCGTTGCTGCTCGTCATGCCATGAAACACACAGCGGAAAAGGCAGATACTAAAATGGGGTAAAGTGATTGCTGTGGTTTCAAACTTTTTTTATAAAGGTCACTTGTCTTCAAGTATAGGGACAACACATTGATATCTACTCCTGTTTCACTTTAACTATACTCCTTAGTAACAGTGAAGGAAGTAAATTTCCGCCTACACCACAGGACTAAGGGTCCAACATCATTCATGGTGATATGTGAAAAACTGCACGTAAAATTCGCGTCGAATGTGTGTAATCGTAACGATGCAGCATTACGTATTAAAGTTACTGTACTGAAATGCCAGTAGACTGCACTGTGAGTTTGTATGGCATATATCTTTTTCAAACGTCATGAAGTTGAGGAATCTCATCTTGTAGCATACTTCAATCATGTAGCGGGCCCTGGCACGTGACAGGAAGTAAGCTCCAATGCGGGGGTTGTACTGGATACAAGTGGTGAGATGATCAATAGCCTCCAAATAATGTCTGTCATAATACTCCAGTATACCAAACTCATTATAAACAATAGACAGTCGGCATCTGACGGACCAATCACTGCTGTCCATCTCCAGTGCTTGTTGGTAGTCAGACAGAGCAAAGTGCAACTCATTCAGCCGGAAGAAACAATCTGAAGGGGACATGATGGAAAAAATGGAACATGAAAAATTTGCTGCATTACACATTTTGTACATGTCAGGTAAATTACAGTTTACATACCCCCTCTGTTGATATACAGTCCTTTTTCTTTTTTCTCCCCTTTGATTGCTTTGTTCAGCAGCACAACTGCTTCATCATAGAATTCTTTCCTGAACACCAAAACAAAAATGCATTAGCCAATTAATTAACTATTTAAATAACTATTTCTAAATCAAAAGTTCCGGTAAAGCTTCATGAATTTGCCTTTAAATGTACTTGAGATGTTTCAGATCTGATGTTCATTTTATAAATAAATATTGTTACCAATATCATAAAATTTTGAAAGCTTTCATGGCTTCTTAATACATGTAGCTTTGCCTCAATAACTGTTTTATCAAGGACACTGGTATTTGGAGGCCCAGTTTACTTTTCTCCCACAAAAGTATACATTTTGTAAGTTTGGCTGAGCTTTACACTTTGTCATTTCAATCACAATCTGAGTTAAAACATAATTCCAATCTACCAACAATGAAAACAACCTTTATCTCCCAAATCAGCAGCAGTAACACTTAAGAGGCACCTTGCTGATCCCAGAGGACTTCCAGTACATCCTTGCCCACAAACTGCCTTGCACCAATGGTGAAAAGCACCATTCAGACCAAAAAAATTTTTATCTGTCAACCCAGACCAATGTTTTTCTCACCTGAAGCATTCCACAGCAAAGTCATTATAACAGAGAAGTAACTGTCTTTGTGCTTCCTTGTACGTTTTGTTTGATTCGTCATGATCAGTTTTATCCATGGCTAGTAGATAATCATCAATGGCAGCATTGAAATCGGACATCCTTCTATGAAGACTGCCACTAAAGAAATACATAAAGTTCATCTAGGGATGCCACTAAATCAAGAGAGAGCTTCACACTAAACATATTTACCCTAACAGTCATAAAATCAATTGAAAGCATCCAGCTCAGATCAACTGACTGTCTGATTGATGCACTGAACTGTCACCTGAACGACTGGTGTACTGCTTAATTAATTGACAACATTATTAAGTCAAGAGTGTCTAATTTCAAGAGGGGGGATAAGTTTCTTAAGAAAATGTAGTGCTGCATCCATAGGGGCAAAATGGTAATTTGGTTTTATCAACTAAGTTGAAATTGTAAATTGGCCACCATGAACAGTTAAAATGCCCTGACACTTGAAATGTTAGCTTTTTAACTCTTTACGGTGGTCAATTTACAATATTATTTCAACTGAGTTGATAAAACCAATTACCTAATTTCAATAAAGTTTTTTAGAAACACAATATATTGCACACTTACCGAAAGATATGATATTCTGCCATGGATGGATTAGTTTCAATAGCAATGGAGATTTTAGAGAGAGCTTCTTTTACCTTGCCAACTAAATGTAACTGTATGGCCTATTGCAAAAGAAGAATAAATATCTCAGCAACAAAATTTTTGCTTTACTTTTTTTTTTTAAATGCTAACCAAGAAACTACTAACTGTATCATCAATTTTAATACCCTAAACATATAATTAAGAATCAGAGCAACTACCAGGTAATAAAACCCATGTGATAGAAGTAAAATTCAAGATTTGAAAACATCACAAGCAGAAGTTATGAAAAAACAACTAAACATTTCTAGTTGAAACAACTGGTAGTTGGTATAATTACTATCCATACTGACCTGTTGCCTGCTCTCCTTTGCTCTCTTTTCAAGAGATGCCATAAGAGTTTTAGCTTCTGTGTTATCTGGGGCAAGAGCAAGTGCATCTTTGACATCATAGTAGCAAAGAGTTGACTATAAAATAAAGTAAAAAAATTTGTTAGATGGAAAGAGAGAGATCTGAATACCAGTTTCAATGGTTATGTTACACATTGAAATACATACGTACAGGGTTCGTGCACTTTTTCAGGCCAAAGATTCAAGGACTTTTCAAGGACTTTCCAGGACCCTACTTAGAAATTTCAAGGACTTTTTTTAATGACAATTTTACCTCAAAACCAAGAAAAATGTTTCTGTTAACGTCTACGTTTTGGGTTTACCGATGGTGCAAAACAAAAGCAGATATTTTTCGATGTTGTTCAATAAAAAATCAAGGACTTTCAAGGACCCAAGACAAAATTCAAATACTTTCAAGGCCTTGAAATTGGCCTCCTGAAATTCAAGGGTTTTCAAGGGTTTTCAAGATGCATACGAACCCTGTTTGTATGAAACTGTAGATTTGGCTGATTGAGGAATTAGAAAACAATACATTTTTTTGTTAAGGAGAACGATACCATTGTATTATGCAGGACTCCAAACTTTCAATTTGGACAATTGCTTACATTACGGAACAGTTCATGAAGTCTGGCTCTCATGATGAAAAGGTCTGGGTTCTCAGTTTCTTCTTCAAGTCGTTTATTAACAAGCGCTAAACATTCTCCATGTCTTTGAAGAGCGGCCAAGCAAGCCACACTGTAAAATAATAACACAGAAAACAAAGGTACAGTGTAATTTCAATGGTATAAATGAATAACATCATTTTCATTAAGCACAAAGATAAATATGTTGGCAGAATTCAATTTTTCACCTCCTTGTGTGATAACCAATCACCTCAGGTTTCATCTCTGCTGCTCTAGAAAAT